TGTGTTTTGAATCCAGGTTTGGTTGAGTTCTCAGATGCCATGTGGTCAGTTGGGGCCAATATTATCATGCTTTCCTGTCGCTGAAGTGGAGAAGTCTTTATTATGTAAATAGACTAGCTTGGCCTTCTTAATGGGCCATTGACAAAGTGGGGATAGGCAGGAAGCTACAGGCAGCTATTCTGTCTTTTAAAACATGTTTCTTTCTTTTCACATCCAGAGAAATATTGTGCCTTTTCAATATTTCCTAGGATATTTCATTTTTCTGGGAGAGGGCTGGGTGATAACTTCCTACAATACTGCTGCTCACATTTTAAGGATGTAGAATGAAAATGAGTCTAGAGGATCAGATGCAAGGGCAAAAATAATATGGTAACTGTAACACATTTTCTGAGCCTTTCTTGGACCCAATAGAATCTCTCATAATCACAGCCGATTTTCCTGATTTTATGAAATGGTCATTTTCTTGCTTCTTGCTACTGTTGGAAGAAATGTCCTTCTGGGTTCAGCTCCAAGTGGAGAGAAAGACACTGGAAACATGGAGGCTGATTGGAAAGATGGTTTTAATGGTGGACAGGACTACATGCCTTGAAGATGTTGGGTGAAGAAGAAAAAAGGGAAGAGATGTTGAGTTTTATACCCTCTCTGGGCTTTTGAATTTGAGCTTGTATTCTGATTGTTGTGAAGCAGGTTAGCACCCACCCATCTCCTAGAAAAATGAAATATCCTAGGAAATATTGAAAAGGCAGAGTGTTATAATTTCCCTAGATGAGAAGTAAAGAAACATGGTTTTTTAGGCAGGAAGCAGGCCCACTCTTAATAGCCTCCACCTTCCTCAATAGCCCACAGCAGAGGTTCCTAAGAGATAAAGAGATAGCTATGTCTATTCATAGCAGTGGTGGGTTGCAGGCGGTATGCCCCGATATTGTTCCGGTACGGTGCTCTGGAGGGCCCAACCGCCCGCCCGAGCTCCTTACTGGTCTTTTAAGTCTTCGGCGCTTCCACGCACATGCACTGCGCGACACTCCGCTGAGAAGCTGGAGCA